TTGCGTGTTACTTCGCTGTCTGCGGTTCAACTAACTACAGTACTCTCAGACGCCACCGGCTAGCTCTCTCTCTTGACATCACCACTACGGAGTACCAGCAGCAGCCAGCAACGGCTCGGCATCGACACCAGTGGAGGAGCAGTACCGGCAAGAGCACTAGCAGAGACGACATATATCATGATCCTCTCTATCGTATTATCAGCAGCAGCCAGACACCCCCGGCTCTGCCCAGCTAAAAACGTGGCCGGCCTCCCCACGCCCTGCATGGGATCCCCCCTTCGTCTCTCCCCCCTTCCTCCGGCACCCAGGGCAGACAGAGAGAGAGAGAGAGAGAGAGAGACGAGAGCAGGATGCCAGCAGAAAGCAGACGGCAACGGCAACGGCAACGGTTAGCAGATTAAAGGGAACGATGGCGTGGTTTGGCATGCGGCCCGCTCGTCTTCGGTAGCGCCATGGTCGTTTTCCCAAAACCAAGAGAGAGAGCTCGAGATATAAGGCTATAGTTGTGAAGACATTAAGGACGAGGGTTCGGATGCAGAGCAAAGAGAGCCCTTTTTCGATACGATGACCAGGGCCCCGTCCGGATGCAGCCCCCAGCTCATCCTCTGTCTCCTCGTTGGCTGTCCTTGTCCGGCCAGGCTGTTCTGGTGCCGTTGCAACTTGGGACTCTCTCTGTCTCTCGGGTTCCTTACGGGCAGTTTCTGCTGGCTGCTGCTGGTGCTGCTGCAGGTGCTGGGCCCCCCTGGCGAGCTTGTGGGCGTTGGCTGACAGAAAGAGCAGTGAAACGATGCATCTGTTTCATCATCCACTCTCTACGAGAACGGGCAGATACGCTGGTCCGCGGTCGGTTCGGTCATTCTTCTGTTCCTCTCTCGCTCGCTCGCTCACTCGCCGGTGCCTCGATCCTTATTTCCGGTGGCGTTGGAATACTACTACTATACTCCGTACTACTAGCAGAGTAGCCAGTCACGTACACCCGGAACTAACCATCTAGCCCATACATCTGCTTCTTCCTCCTTGGTCTGCGTCCCGTCTGCTGCAAAAGATATATCCTCGGTATCTCTCGGTTTTGGGGGGTCCTCATCGAAAGATCTGCTACTTCAGTCAGCGTTACTCTTTACTACTAGCGCAAAGGCTAGCCCTCCCGTTGAATTAAGAAAGCCAATTATTAAACTTAGCGACGGTTTCTGCAGCCTTTCCTTGTTGCTTTTTTCTTTTCTTCTTCTCCCTTTTCGCCCGCCTTCGATCGTTTCTTTGGTGAATAATGAGAGTGACATGATACGGAGTAGGCATCTTTGAAAGCTGGAGGTTGAACGTTGTCCAGCTCAGTTTGGGTCCATGACCCCTGGGGGGCCGCCAGAGGAGAAGGGAATTCCCCTGAACTTCAACTCCATCATCTCCGATGCCTGTCTCATCACATCGCTTGCCTTTGCAACAGACCAACGGAGTACGGCTAGGGCAAGTGTGTGTTGCCTTCGAGAGAGGCGGAGGAGCACGGATGGTGCGGCCTGGCAGCCGGCTCGCTGGGCTGGGCTATCTGGCTGGCTGGCTGGTCCATGGCTTACGATGCTTGTTTGGATGGAGCACTATGTCCTGCAAGTCTCAAGGTTCGGTGGAGCTGGGCCAGGGAGCGAGGGCTGGAGATGTCGTTCTCCTTCTCTTTCTCACTTGATGAGAGATGAGAGTGGAGTTTGCCTTCTGGCTGGCAGAGGGGAGGCTGAGAGCTTAGCCAGCCCGGAGCATGGAGTTGAACCCAAGATATACCTCCTGCGCATCATCATCACCATTATTATTATTATTATTATTATTATTATCATTATCAATATATCATATCGTATCATTGTATCGATATGATCGAGGACGAAAACGAAGCAACTAATACATCCATGTCATGCTCACTTCGTCACTCACCCGTTGTTCCTTTTTTTTTATCCCTTTGCCCATCCTTCTTCTGCCTTCTTCCCCAGCTCACAACCCGTCGGCGTCCGTCGTGTGACAGAATCAAGGATTCTTTTCGTATCCCTTTTTTTCTTTATAGATGTCTGCATATCTACAGAGATCTTCGATCACTAACGACGCATCTCACAGACAACCGCGGAATTCATCACCGTAAAGAGCCATTTCTCCTTTGAGCATGCTTTTCGCCATCGCCTCCCCAGGAAATGGCTTTTTGCTTGACAGATACAAGACATTCTCAGGCTATTCTTGACTTCACTTCCGCGTGTTCAGCTTCACATGGAAGCTGGTGGTTTGAGGTTTATGCTGTGTAGCCTTGGTATGCTTCCCTTGCATACGAACGAAGTCTGATGGGCCGGACGATACCCCAAGTTGGGTACATGGGCTGTATCCAACATCCAGGACCTCGGAGTACTCCATTTCTATACATCAAGTTTCCACAGAACGGAGCCGCGCTATCTTCTTGGTTTGGCTGCAAGCCTGACTTGAGAGATCACCTCCAACCTGCCAACTCTACTACTGGTCCCAAAGAAACAACGTCAGAGAATAAACAGATAACGAAGTGAGAAAAAGCAAAATAATGAACGAAAAAAAGCAACGAAAAAGCATATAATATATCTCAAAATGGCTTTTTACTTTAATTTTGTTTTTGTTTTCTTGCGCAGGTGGCAATCCCCGTGCAGATCAATTTATCCTCCATACCTTTCCTTCTTTTTTCCAATCTGTCTCTCCACTGAACTCATCTAAAATGGGGGTTCGAGAGACCAGCTGGGAGAAGATCTCTTGCTCTCCGTTCAACTCCTGGTGCCCTCTCCTCCACCCCCCTCCCCTCCATAAACATGGTTAAAGGTTACGGTTGCGGGACGATAGCCCGCCAATACATGGACAGGACAGGGGACGACATCTGCTCGTTTCTTCCGTATACAAATACCCGCATGTGAATACACCTCTACCCTAGTTCCCAGCGGGGAAGGGAGGCAAGAAGCCATCCAACAGGACTTCCATTTGCAAGTCTGGTTCACTGCGTATAAAGTACCTCGTAAATCGGGGTCTTAGGAGTCGTGCTAAGACAAACGGTGTATATATATGGCCTCCTTCAGTACTACAAGGAAAAGGAATACTACTCAGTCAAAACTAATCAGGTTTTGAATGAGCGATATTTATCGATAATCCCCCCAACCCGCTTATCGCGCCTATTTCACTATACGTCACATCTGATGAGACATGCTTACGCTCCTTGGCCTCCAGCTTATATGGCTGGCAAGTGTGAACTCAGAAGAACCAAAGAGGATAGGACACTGAGAGCTGCCGTGCAGGTTAACAGCCCCAGACCCTTGCTGTCCCTGGTTCTCAGCAACGTTAAACATCCTCCAACGCATGAAGAACTTCACTCTGAGGGAACACCAGGATATCTTTGAGGTAAATGGGCCGATTGGTCTCCATTGCTGTATTGTATCAATGCTGCTGGACTTTTAATTCTCCCAATCTTCGCGGATTCTTACCAAATGGGACAGCTTAGGGGATTTGTGGGTTTAGATTGGTTTATACCACGCACTGGAAGTCCTGTTGAAGCTACTGCCATGGACGTTTCCAGTTGGTATCAGTCTATCAGCGTGAAGGCTGCCCAGCTCTGTCACGATATACACGAGCACACCTACTCGACGGATCGATAGAAGGCAAAATCCTCATTGATCCAGTGGTTCATGTCAACAATCAGTATATGTATACTTCCACCGGCAATTACGCAGTACGTATTGTATCTTGGCCCTTCCTGGATGTACATAGTTGGAACAATCTGACGTGTGTGGAAAGATGATCGAAATGAAGGTAACTACACTTTGTGGCGAAGCCTCTAATCAAGAATAGGCCCCGAAGGTATGTACCTGGCCTTTAACCGAGCATGTGAAGGTGGCTGAGATTCTCTATCAGCTACCAGTGTTGTGTTGTTTGTAGGGCGTACAGATGTGGTACCAAGTCATCAAACTTGGTGACATGGGAGGTTCGACCATACGGGGACTGCAAAGTGAATCCGGGATGAGGGCTGAATATTGCCTAGCTTCAATTAATAATTATGGAGAAGAAGAGTTGATACTCAACGCCCCAAAGCAGGGATTGAAATGATATTGGTAGACACGACATCACACCTTCTCTATCATCAGTATGACTATTTTGGAGATGGAACGTATATGCACAAAAGGCGTCGAAGGCGTCCTTATTTACGAGTATTTTACTTCTGACTAACTACGGAGTAACTATTTAAGGCAGTTTTCCAGAATCGTCCTAAGCATGTATTTGCTTTTAAAGCCACACGGCGTTGTTGCCAACTAGGCTAGCTAACTAGTCAACTAACTTTGTGGAGAGAGAGGCGTGTACGATATGCGATCCCGATGGAGGAGGTCAACGCATTGCGATTGGCAAAGCCCAAAAAGCATAACATCGGCCCGCGAGGCACCAAGAGGGCTTGGAGCCGCCAGCCCATTCGATAGTATTCTTTAGACACCTTTTGCCTTTTCGTACTATAGCCCCTTCGGCCCATATCGACGAACAACTCTGTTCGTTCCGTTGCACGGGCACCTTTGGAGACTTTTTTTTGTCTTGCCTCTTCCCGTTGTCTTGGTCTTGGTGACTGTTTCTTCTTTTCACTTTGCCTTTGCTGACGACCAATTAGCTGTCCAATGCACCATCTGGTGGTGGCGCTGGCGACATCAGAGGTCTTGTGAATTTCCCGGATTGGCTGCGGTAAACTCAGAGAGGTGTCTCTGTTTAGCACAAGAGGATCAGATAACGTCTGTGACACATCGAGTATGCATGCTCTGAAACGTCATCCTGTTAACCGATAGTTGATTCCTCCGTATACGATTACGACAAGGAGTGCTCGTTCTCTTGTCTGAGCGAGGCCTTCTCGTTAATTCGCGATCACCCTTTCTTTGGCTATTCTCTTTGATCAGTGTTGATCGAACGCCTTGCTTCCTGCCCAAATCCTCCCCTTGTTGGCATCTTGGTACCCAAGACAAACGATAATCTTCGCTAGGATTACCTTTTTCACTCACCAGTGCTTGGACATCTCAAAGTATAAGATATTCTTCTTCTTCTTCTTTTTTTTTTTTTTTTTTTTTTTTTTCAAAGAGCTGGCGAAAGAAAGGATAGGGGTATGAAGAGGTTCAAGCCCTCGTTTCGTAACTAGGGGACGCTATTCTGCCTTTAGCTTCAGATCTGTCTAGACTCTGAGAAGTATCAAGGTTAAGGTCCCAAGGGAATGCACGGATTCGATTCCATCAGCCTGAACCAAAAAAAAATCGTGCTGGCAAGGCTTCAGCGATGACTCTTTTTCTTCCGCAGCTTTCACCGGGTATAGCCATCTCATTCCTTGGAAGATTCCTCGGCAGCGGAGCATATATTATGTAAAAATTACTCGCAATTACGGCTCACAACCCTGCGTCGGCGTTCGTGGCAGGGTACAAGAAGGTTGAACTGGGGTTATGATGGCCAAAATCTCTGTCAATCCCCGCGCTGGAGGCGAGGATCTAGGGGAGAGCGAAGGAGCTTCTCGGCTAAACTGTAGGTGCTGGAGGCGTAATATGATGGGTGGGCATTGTTTACTATCCGCTTCACGAAACATTCATCAACCATAACAACCATGCAAGGACTAGAGCGAGATTTTTCCGCTACTCAATCATTCTCACTTGGTAGTGAGCCACCAGAAGCGCCCAAATTGAGATCAAGGCATAGTAAGGATGATCAAGGTAAGGATGATGCACTCAACCTTCAATGCAATATCTGCGCAGGAACCCATCACTTCAACCTTCAGCAAGGAGGTAAAGGGGAGAAAACGGTAGTTCGGCCGGGACCGCATGAACATCATCGGGTGATTATTTAACGACTTATGATCTGGCTGCAGTTTGACGTTTGCTGAGTATCAGATAGAGTCCATCTTCATCTTGCATATCGAGAGTCCACGGCTGAGCCTCGTGTGGCTTTAGCATGGGTAATTTGTGTGTCGGCTCTTTGCTCTTTCCAGACGAACCCGAAATTATCAATCGCCCTGTTAATGCTCTGAAAAGAGGCCTAGGAGTATAAATACGGCGGCAATTCTGAATTTTATCCTGGGATAATCCGGGAATCAGCATGGCGTAGGAGTAGTCGCCTAGTGTTTATTATGGAATGCCTCGATGGATGTTAATCCAGCTCAGGTAAATTTGAAAAGGTTCAAAATTTTAGGAATATTGTTTGGGGAATATTGGACAGACTAGCCAATGGATACACATCAGCTAGCGTAAGCAAACCTGAAAGCTGTGACGGAAGGCTGCTGGTTAGATGACGATTCCAGGGACGGGTGTTGCTGAAGTGCATAGATAAATGAAGTCTGTGCTGCCGTCCATCTGGCTAAAGCATATTCGCATATTATTCGATATACTCTAGCAGTAAGGGAGGGGAAGTCGGAAAAGAGTGATGATGCGTGGCTGATCTATCTCAAAATTCTGTAGCTTAGGTATCAATAGTCGCCCTCGTCAGACCACACGAAGATCGAGGGCTTGCATAGTTCCTACGAGAATCGTACCGTGTTCGTCTGATCTGCCCTAACTTCCAAAGCACTTGACCTGATCTCCATGTGTTTGTCACAAGCATTCGTGTTGTCAAACCTGTTTTCAGGCACAGAGTGGTCTTTGAGATCGTCATAAGAATAGCACGGTACCCTTCCGAGATCACTGTGACCATGTCAGCTAGAGACCTGAGCTCCCTAAATGTTGGGATTTGCAGAGTTGGTCACACCGACAGCCGTGCCATTTACCACCAGCAAGCTGTCAGGCACGGAGTATTTTGTTCAATATATGAAACTCGTTTTGATACAGAGTTATGTAATGCAATGCATATGCTGCACGCTGAATCATATCCTTGCTCACAGACGTTGGATGTGTAGACATTGCTTATTGGATGGAGCTCTCTCTTAGCCAGAATGATGGGGGATGTAAAGCCAATCATATCATATGTTGTGGCCAATGCGTGGCTTCACCAGATGACTCTAGCCGTTTCATCGTGGTGATGACCAAAAAGGGTCGAGGTTAAAATGGTATCCGCTACGCACGGTTTCAGATGCAACCTCTCATCATTCCCGGGAGAAAACGGCAGCTAGGTGCAAAAGGTATCAGGAAGTCTCTGGGCATAGTTGTAGAGACGGACTTCCTTGAATGTGCCGCTTGGCACCGCTTCTGGGCCTTTATGAGAGGTCTTGGGGCCAAACTACACAGCGATCCTTACAGGTTGACTCAGATTCCTGCATTTCACAGTAGAACATCGTAGGATAATCAGTTTATCTAGCCATCCAAGGAGATGCCTGGAGTACAGTTCATCTTACAAATGGTAGGGTAGTCTAGGGATTATCGCGATGTGGTTTGCAGTGTTTTTTTGTCGGTCCATTAGAGATAAGGGAGGAACCAGCCTACAAGCACTATCCCCATACCTATGGGTAGGACCTTCAGGATCGTTGATATAGATTATTAATGGGTATTTGATCAATAAATTTCATAAACTCCTATGTCCCCAGGATAAAGAAATTCCGTGTAGGGGTAGATAAGGGTTTGGACTGCTGTTCAAGTGGGTAGTAGGCAAACTTTCGAGGAGCCGGTCAATTAGACACTGGGCTGCTTATTCATATAAAAATTCGTACAGCTTCTCTTTTTTCCCGTGATTAAAACACTTGAATCACGGGGAACATGTAATGCAATGATCCTTCCATTTAGGGACGCAGTTTATCAGTTAGGGGGCGCATCCGGCCACCTTGACAGAGCTTATCGCAGTATTATCTTCAAATCCTAGATCTTCAGTCGTCCATTTCCTTTATTAATATTTTTTTTTTCAGCCTAGCGGGGGTTGTTGGAAGGGTAGAGAGGAGCTGGCAATACTGAGTATACCCCTCCGGAGTACAAGTTGAATATGCCGACTTAAGGCTGCTAGCCTTCAAATTGGCCCCATTTCCCACATAGCCCTGCATATTTAAGCGCTGAGGGCGGGAATAGGACAGGGAGCTAGTTGGGTATCTTGAGGAAATGACTCTGTAAGCTCTTCAGACCGAAACCGCGTAAACGAGGCATCGCCTTAGCGTAGACCAAGCGACCTCCTCATATGCAGGTCTAGGGTGTTATCCACAAATAGAACTGGCAAAAAAGATAGGGCAAAAGGAAAAGATTGTAATGACACATAATCAAGGAGGACCTCAGGTATCAGAACTCGATTGCAGGTCGATGCAGGCCAGGCTCAGAATGCAGCAAGGTTGGCGCAGGTTCCAGGTAGGGTCACACTGGAGACGGGTGCCTCTGTCTCCCTGCGATGCAGAATCACTTCCGGAGAGTATTTTTGGGGTGTCGGCAACATAGCTGTGTGGTTATCTTGTCGTCTAAAGTACATAAATAGTAGTCAAGATGGCAGTGCTCGATCGATCTGTCGTTGTTGTTGCTGGTGGACAGGGATGCCGAACTTTTTTAGGGTTAACTAGCGACAAGGATGACAAAGCACAGCCTCCAGAATTCTAAATATAGTTCATCCTCTTTTTCAACGTCAATTCTTCCTGCAGGGACCAAACTGGCGCAACCCCGTCACGGCGCATTGGTCACGGTGGACTAGTCGAGAGTTCTACGGAGTACTCTGTGCAGGCTGCGCTATGCCTGTGTTCCTCTGCTCAGTTATTTTGAGAAATGCCGAAAAAACAGGTGGGAGGAGGAATCCCTGCGGCGTATATTGTTATGCCCAAGCCTGTTTACCAGGCCCCCTTGAGTCCTCTCCGGGTCACTGATCCGGCTAAATGTTGATAATGCATCTTCAGATATACAGAAACTAACGTTTATATCCTTGGGATAATACCAGCCGACTGGTTGGCCGCCAAATCTGCAAGGAATATGATTACCAATGATGAAAACCGAGCTGCTTCGTTGATAATCTTCCCCACTATCCAGCTGTTCGTCAACTCCGGTCAAGGTTATTACCTTACTCTCGGCCAATAATACGGGGCCTCAGTGCTCAGTGTACATACGATAAATTTTAATAGCCGCTTGTTTCATGCACTACACCTGGGGCAGCTCCCGTTCCAGGTTCATCGTGTTCCCCCAATAACTAAAAAGCGATTGTCTTTGCAGATTGACGAACCGGCCAGCCTTGAGGTGGTAAACTGCTATCGCGGCAGATAATTTAAAAATCTTTCATCATGGGATGAGTACGGTACCCTGATCCGACACTCCCTGTCTAGTACCTATCCTACAGGCAGATTCTGCGTTTTATCGTCAATATCAAGTGCCTTAAGGAGAAGCAGACAGTCAAGTCTTTTGAAGCGACTTCTTGGCTTTTGGTCTACCGATATTTTTCAACGGTCTATTGACAGGGATAGCCTTAAGACCTCCAAGCCCAAGCAAATAACTGCGCCTTCAGTTCCATTAACAAGCTGGTGTGATTTTCCATTAATATGTTAATACTGTGAATGTGCATGTATTCCGGGTTGACCCTAGGCCAGACCAAGGGTTTCTCTAGTGGACTAAGAGGAACCCTCAACCCCCATTTTCCTCTTTCTTTTTTTCTCTCTTTTACTCTGTCACGCCCCCCGGCTGCGGTGGCTAGAAACCCTGTTCCGAATTGAAGCCCGCGGTACGTGTAGAATTTCACTACCGCTGAAAGCCCATTGGACGATGACTCGAGTCTGCTGCTCCGGCCTGTGGGAGATCTCTTAGTGGTTGACAAAGCTTCCAGGATTGCACAGATGCAGATAAGTATCGAATGGACATGGGTTATATCGCTCGAAGGATGCAACCCTGTCTTGATCTGAAGGCTCCTCTAGATTTAAGATGGACTTGCTCTCCCAAGAATTCAAGAATCATCATCGTATTCCATCTCTGGCTCTTAGCACTCTGTTCGTCCTTCACCCTAAGGTCAAGACAGTTGATCAATCCGGATTGAACAATATTATTTAATTCCTACCCTTTCTTACCGCCTGCCTTCATCTATCAACAGGCCACCACTGTGACCATGGCATTCTATGAAGCGTTGCCATCACTACCTAACATCAACACCTATGCCTACCCTATCGCCCCGCAGCCATATGAAAGCCAGTCCGAGTCATACTCCGAATCCTCTAGCCCGGATACATATGTAAGTAAGCTCGATTTCTCATATTGGCGGCATATAACATGTTTAACTGCGTTGTAGCATATGAGACAAAGCGTCAGCCCTTCTGAACCCTCTCCCTACGTGATTTCGTACGGGAGCCCTCAAATTCCATTCTACCCAGCACAGGAGAAGATTCCGCTGGAATACATCGACTCCACTTCACTAGACAATGGAGATCAAAGGGAGCGAAGGTCAACTCAAAAGGGCCCTGTCACTTCCATGCACTTAGTTAGTCGAAACATATACACTTGCTACATATATACCCATTTTCCTAACATGCTATACAGAGACGTCGAGCACAAAACCGTGCTTCTCAACGGGCATTTAGAGAACGCAAGGAGAAACACGTCAAGGGCCTTGAAAGCCAGCTACATGCCCTCCATGAGCAGCACCAGAGTCTTCTTCAGTCGTACAATTCCCAGGCCAACGAAGTCGAAAGCCTAAGAAAGAAAGTCCAGGAGTTGATGAAATTACCAAATAATGTGCATAATGTGCAATTTACCGATCCTTCCACGTCCCCCGTTTGCACAAGCAGCGCCAGTGCCAGCCAGGTTTTCACCACACCAAACAAGTACGAAATAGCTACCTTCCCAGCGAGTTCATACCCAACTCCTACTCCTGAGCCGTACTACGACAAATCAATCCATACCACCGTTGCGTGAGGGCATCGGTTCCTGGAAATAATTTCACTAATTGGCCACCATTGATGCAAATACAGTACCACTCCCCCGCTTACTTAATTTCTACATTCCTTTTTCCTTTCATGGGGCCGGCAAAAATACCCAGTAGGAATAATTTCACTTCTTCCGCTCCTTTACCGCCTGTGTCACGGTTTCATTATATATCTTTCATACACTCCTTACCAGCTAATTTTGACCCCTTTATATCTGGCACCTTAATGTTTGAGCTCCCTGGTCTGAGTTCTCTTTCCCGAAAGCTAAGCTTAATTAAATCCTTCTCTTTCTTATCCTCTGCGTTTTTCTGGGTGCCTTTGTGTTTTCACCAATCGAGGGCGGAAGAAGTTGCTAGACAGTTACTGTATATAATACTAGTGAAGTGTCCATTACTGTTAAACTGCCGATGGAAGCTTGACATAATACATAGGCAGGTTCAATGCTCACACGATTTTATTCGCCACATTGAGAACTAGTATTGGAAAATCTGCATTGCAGCCGTAGTAGTATCCTCTTTGTGAGAATTCTGTTGCTTCTTGGCCACAACTGCAAGTTGTCGGCCGTATCCATTACAATGTAGTTGGAGGAGAGCTGCAAGTAGCCGCCAACATTTCTTTGCAGGAAGTGATATAATCGTCATGGCCAGGGATGATATGTACAGTGATTTGAAAGTCGTGGGCATATCCTCTGGTAATTGCGTTTTGGTTTTGGATCGTATCCTAGGCTCAGGATGGCACCCAGACGTAAACTGTAGTCCGCATCCCCAGCCAATAGCATATCCCAGTAGAAATTGCGGTTGTTTCGTCGTAATTATTCCTGTGTCAATTGACGAAAATCACACTTCGCACAAGCGTGCTAGGTGATGCTCCAAGACACATGCACTCCGCCTAGTATGTGAAATTTTCTCCAACTGCCAGAATTACCATCTCCAGGAGAAGATGATCAAGAGCTTCCGTATAGTTACCTGCAAGCAGTGCAGGGTCTCAGATGTATATGTGTGGGAAGCACCTGTATGTATCAGTGAACAGGATCAATTTTGGCCCCCCTCCCCAGCTTCCACCATGGTCCCTGTGACCTCCAAGCCAGGGGTTGGGATTATCACGACATGTGGTATAAGGCCACAGAGCCAACATCAATTATTCCTTGCTTATCCCGGGGCTTCGAGGGGTGTATCCTGTTCCATCCCGCTCGCCTTGTCCTTGTTGCTGCGGGTGCTGATGGATGCTGATGGATGCTGAAGTTTCACCAGCTGTTTGCCTCAAAGAGAAAATACTCGCTTAGCTAACACAAGTACATTATATAAGCAATTATTTGTCATCATACACGTGACTATAAAAGAGGCCATGGCGGGGCTTTCCCAAGGTTCGAAAAAAAAAAATTAAAAAAAAAAAAAAGGGATTAACTCCTCTATATTATTGTATGGGAGTTCTTCACCTTCACCATAAAACATTGCAACTTGCACGTCTATCTTTAAAGATACCATCCAGCCGCTCGCTGCCTCCGACTCTCTGCAGGTTTAAACCTAAATCTTTATCTCATCACACTGTTAGAACGCCGCATAACTCCAATTCCACCGCAAAGATGAGCGAGATCACCCACCCCACCATTAAGGGTATGTGTTAAAACAGTACAGATATTCAGACCCCTAATCACAAGACACAGAGCTATCTCTTTCATTTATTCCAATTTTATGTTAATTTGCTAATTGTAATGGATTCTTGCCTCTATAGATGGATGGTTTTCTGAAGTCTCCGACATGTGGCCTGGTCAGGCCATGAACCTCCGGGTCAACCAGATTCTTCACCATGAGAAGTCCGATTACCAAGACGTCCTTGTCTTCGAGAGCAGTGACCACGGCACTGTTTTGGTCCTGGATAATGTTATCCAGTGCACTGAGCGAGACGAGTTTTCGTGCGTTGTACCGTCTACAATGGTTTTTAAATGAAGTTTTGCTGATATTAGGGGCAACAGTTACCAGGAGATGATCACCCACCTCGCCATGAACTCCCACCCCAACCCCAAGAAAGTGCTTGTTATCGGTGGAGGAGACGGCGGTGTCCTTCGAGAGATTGTCAAGCACGACACTGTCGAAGAAGCCGTGCTCTGTGATATTGACGAGGTTAGTTACCCCGCCATATTAAATTGCCCCTCAATTGACTGGCTCAATTGACACTGAAAATAAACATCACAGGCCGTCATCCGAGTGTCTAAGAAATACCTCCCCGGAATGAGCGTTGGATTCCAGCACCCCAACGCCAAGGTCTATGTCCGTGACGGTTTCAAGTTCCTCGAGGAACAGAAGAACCAATTCGACGTTATTATCACAGATAGCTCCGACCCCGAGGGCCCAGCCGAGGTTCTATTCCAGAAGCCATACTTCGAGCTTCTATATGGCGCTCTCCGTGAAGGAGGTGTCATTAGTACTCAAGGTTGTTCGTCGCCTCTCCGTCCTTTACTAGTCTCGTTTGCCCTCTGCTTTCATACACTTCTTTTGCGCTTCGGATTGAGGCGGTATCCTGACTTTATTCTGCATTTCAGGTTACACTTCGCCCGATCCCTTTGTCGACTTCTATTTCACTCTTTTCTTTTACAAAGAAAGTAATTTCCTCCCTAATTACAGACCAGGCTAACCATACAAACCATTTTACTTCCCGAGTATCTCACTAGGGAAGTAAACATGTGTGCTTTCTACCTTTAGCTGAAAACCAATGGCTCCACCTCTCCATGATCACCGAGCTGAAGAAGCTCATGCGTGAGGTTTTCCCCGTCGTCGAGTACGCATACACCACTATCCCAACTTATCCATCAGGTCAGATTGGCTTCTTAGTCGCCTGCAAGGATGCAGAACGCAACGTCCGCGAGCCCCTTCGCAAGTGGAGCAGAGAAGAGGAGGATAAACTCTGCAGATACTACAACCAAGAAATCCACCGTGCTAGCTTCATTCTTCCCAACTTTGCTCGAAAGGCCCTCGAATAAATGCGTCGACTGGGTCTCTAGTTAAGTTTTAACTGATAAACGGGTTGATATTCCTTTTTGTCTATCTTTCCTCCCAAGGTTTCGTTAACATCGGAATAAATTGGGTTAAAGGGCCAACCAAAGTTAATTGAGGGGTGGTGTGCCTCGGAGGTACTTGGTTATAGCTAGAATTGAACGCCCGCTTGTTGCATGGGCTAGGAGATTCGGGAGAACAAATTCATTGGGAAGAAGGCAGATATTACCTTAGATTAACACTGCAAACAATATGATCTACGATTCTCTACACTTACTCGGCTGTAAAATGAACGGAAATCATTATATATTCAATTTTTCTCGTCTGATCATGAAAAAGGGGGCAACTAAACCGATAAGGCGGTATGACTCTAGCTGATGGAGGAAAAAGTAGTAAGAAAACCTCTTTCGTTAACTAGTTAACAGGGCCCCTGCCCTCTTTAACTCTTGTAAATGAAATATGAGTAAGTGAGGAGACTTCTAAGAAGAAACAAGAGAGGCGCCCGAAAAATCGCGTGCGATTGTCTTAAATAAGTTGCTGGAAAGCACGGTTGATTGGGGAGCGGACAGTGACACCCTTGTAGAAATCGACTGTAGCAATAGCACGCTTGCTGATACCCTCTGGAGTGAATTCGAATTTCTAGAGGAAATTGTTAGTACAGGGAGATGGGTGAAATGATGACCAACATGGGTTAAATCTTACAGCATAGACGTCCTTGTATGGGCCAGATGCACCGAAGCGGTTGAGACCGAATTGTTCGTGCGAGTATCTCTCCCAACCAAGGGTGCTCATGACTTCGACGCTAAGAGATGGGATGCCATCTGGGATAACGCTGAGTCTGTACTCCTTGTCCTGAGTATCGAATACTTCGAAGCAGGGCATGGAGACAATGCGGGCAACAATGTTGTGCTTCTCCTTGAGGAACTTGGCAGCATCGATACAGATACCGACTTCAGATCCGGTACTGACGATGGTGATGTTAGCATTTTCGGCCTCAACAGCAACGTAACCACCCTTGAGAGCCTTCTGGATGGTAGAACCCTCGAGCTGTGGGAGGTTCTGGCGGGTAAGGGCAAGGATGGAGGGTGTGCTCTTAGCGGTAAGGGCAGAGTAGTAAGCAGCACTGGTCTCGTTGCCATCAGCTGGACGCCACACCATCAAGTTGGGGAGGGCACGGAAGTGAGCGAGGGTTTCGATGGGCTGATGTGTTGGGCCGTCTTCTCCCAACCCGATTGAGTCGTGGGTTGCGATGTAGATAACGCGAACGCCAGACAAAGCAGACAGACGGACAGCTCCGGCGGCGTAGGAGACGAAGTTGAGGAAAGTGCCAGCGGCTGGGAGCATAGTGCCGTAGGCGGCCATACCGTTCATCATGGCAGCCATGCCGTGCTCACGGACGCCATATCTGAAGTAACGGCCGGACCATTCACCAATACCAAGGCATGGTGGCTGGAAGTCAACGGCCTTCTTCCAGCGGGTGTTGTTGGATCCAGTCAAGTCAGCGGATCCGCAGACAAACTCTGGGATGACATCGTAGATCTTCTCGATCACTGCCTCGGAAAGCTTGCGGGATGCAATGGCCGGGTCACTTGGGGAGTAGACGGGCAAGCACTTCTCCCACCCCTCTGGGAGCTCACCGGACAAACGACGCTTGAGATCGGCATGCTCCTTGGGGTACTCCTGTGCGTATTTGGCAAAGAGATCGTTCCATTCCTGCTCTTTAGCGGCACCCTCAGCGGAGCGGCGGTGGTAAAGATCGTAGACTTCCTGAGGAACCACGAAAGTCTCTTCAGGGTTGAAGCCAAAGGCCTGCTTGAGCTGCTTGGTGTCATCAGCTTTAAGGGGGTTGCCGTGAACGCCGCCAGTACCCTGAAGAAGGGAGCCGAAACCGATCGTGGTAGTGATCTTGATCATGGAAGGCTTGTCGGTGACTTCCTTGGCCTTTCGGATAGCGGCCTCGATGCCCTCCAGATCATGGTTACCGTCCTTGACGTGCTGAACGTGCCATCCGTAGGACTCGAAACGAGCACAGACATCTTCGGTGAAGGCACACTTGATATCACCATCTGGTCAAAAGTTAGTAAGTGAAATTAGATCAGCACAGAGGGGAAAAAATAAAATTAAAAAAAAAAAAAAATTAAAAAATTTAAATATAGAGTGCCAGTTGCATACCAATAGAGACATGGTTGTCATCGTATAGACAGATCAGGTTGCCAAGTTTCAGATGGCCCGCAGCACTAGCAGCCTCGCTGGCAACACCCTCCATAGCACATCCATCACCAAAGATGCAGTATGTGTAGTTGTCGAACAGGTTGTATCCTGGTCTGTTGAAAACGGCAGCAGAATGAGCCTGGGCAACAGCAAGACCAACAGCATTGGCAATGCCCTGACCGAGAGGACCGGTTGTGACCTCGACGCCAGGGGTGTCGTGAGATTCGGGGTGACCGGGAGTGATACTGCCAAGTTTCTATCCGTGGCAATTAGTGACTGAACTGAAGATGAAGGAAAGCGAGGAAGTGGGCAGGGAAGGCCAAAACTAACCCTGAAGGCTTTCATATCATCCATGGACAGGGCATATCCAAAAAGGTGGAGGAGGGTATATTGTAGAACACAGGCGTGTCCATTTCTATGGTCACCACGTTAGCTGCCATCCTGCTTCCAACTCCCACCAATTGACGGCCAGTCTCTCCGATAAAGGTGCATGAAGGGAGGCTTGACGTACGAGAGAACGAAACGATCTCGGTTGGGCCAGTGTGGGTTCTTTGGGTTGAAGTGCATGAACTTGTTGAACAGGACATGGGACGTCGGAGCAAGTCCCATAGGTGCTCCGGGATGCCCGGAGTTGGGGACTGCGGTCGCATCGACCTGGAAAAGGATCAATTAGCATTAATTCGACGTCTTCTTGGTGGTGAAGTGCTCTGGAAGGACTAGAAGGGCTGGAGGGGCTTGGATGGTCTCTGCTCTCAGGGTCTCTCGCTATCAGGCCGATGCGGGGTGCCATAGCCCGTCAATCAAGCGCCAAAACGAAGACCAAGAGCCCATGTCTCCAGGCAGAAATCTTTGTATCTCGAGTAGAGTGTACTCACAGCGAGGGTACGGATGGTGTTGATGGCCTTCTGGTCAACTTCTGAGTATCCCATGATGGCGAGTGTGTGTATCGAACTGCTCTATGCGGGGTAGGATATAGCGGGTGTTCAGAGGCGGCTGCGGTACGAGCTTTGAAGCTGAAATCGACGAAGACTAACGAAGGTGAAGAAGAAGCTGGATATCCGAATATCTCTCAACGACAGCAGCAGGCTTGGGAGGATATAAGATGGTTGCAAGAAGATGAAGAAGAGGAAGCGAAAAAAAATATCGAAGTCGCCTAAAACTCTGAAAGTTCCCGGAAGGCGGACAAGGGGTGGGGCCTGGGAGTTAAATCGCGCAGGATAGATTACAGCGGTACCAGGTTCATGGTAGGATTACAGCGGGCGATCATTGGGGACTGCGGTGTATGTTACGGGGCAATACGACTAGTGCGGTGCGTTTTATTGGCTGCCCTTCTATCAAACTTGCTCCACGCGGTTTGAACATATCCATTCAGCAACGACGGCGGCGGCGACGGCGACGGCGAAGGGAAAAAAACGGAGAACGAAGAATACAAATGAGCAGATGGCGAAAGATGAAGGCGGCAAGGGGAGGGCAAGCAGCAGGCTCTGTGAGACGGGAATCAAAGCCCAGGTTCGACGGGCGGCCGGCCCGGGCAGCTTACAAAGGGCCGTCCAGCGTGTAAGTTCTATAACCGACCACGATGATGAGCCTAACTATCGGCCGGGATGGTCAAATAAGGGAATGCCGTCAGGGGCCGTCGAAGAGTCAGAGACAAAGACAGATACACAGAGAGAAAGGGAGCTGTTTGGAGGCTGCGAGACGTTTTGAGTGGCGGCTGCTAGTCCGCCAGAAGACCACCGCTGGGGACAACCAGTTTCGTGTGCACGAGTGGGATATCTGACATTGCCAATAGCATATTCCTCATTAGTATGCTAGCTGTTATGCACTTGACATGCAGCTTGTTCGTCCCAACTCGGAGCTGAAACCGCAGTCAATCACATCGAGCCTTCGCCGAGCCCTCATCCTTTCCTTTCCTCTGCTTGCGTTCTCTTGTCTTCTTCACTCAACCTCCAACATGGCCTCTCCTTGCAACGGAGCATATTTCTTTTATACGGGTAGTGTCGATGAGCTAGGGTGCCAGCGGCCAGCGACGTCATACATGCTCCGGCTAGTCATGTACGCACCGTTATAGCGCCCCCAGTCCCACATGAAGAACAGGGGGCTCCTCTATCCCTGACCCATCTTTCCACCTTGCTCCGACCAACCGGAATTCCCAGGTGCAAAGAGACTGGAGATTCATTGGCTAAATGTGGGCTGATGATGCTCTTCATCTCTTTAACACGGTCTCTGGCGTTGGTGACTCCGTACTTACAGATCTTTGAACGGGTGGACTTCAAAGGCGCCGTCCATGGAGCAGCTTATGTTGGTTAGGGAATTCCCGTGCATAATATGCAATGCACATGTATCTGTATCCAATGGCTGAATTACGATTTACCGCGAGTCATTTACGTACAACTCAAATGCGGGCTTAGGTATAACTCCGTGATTTAGGAAATACTGTATCAAAGGACGAATTGTACGAAAGCAGAGCAGTGACTCTGTGCCATTCCGCAGTAGTTATTCCTGGCCTGCCTCTGGAATAAGTTACTACGCTCGGTTAACTAACTACCTCAACTATAGATTTATGCTTGCTATTATTACAGAAGATAGCAGGGGAAGAAAGAAACAAAGCACGCGAAACGAATAACGCCAAAAGCAAGCAAAACCACAACAATTAACTCAGACAAAACACCCCAAAGACCCAATTATCGAAGACCCAAACCGCACCAGAAACCATTAACTAGAAAATAATCTAGTAAATTGGTGATGCCCAACGTATATAAAAATATATACTCCGGGCGTATGATTATTATATAAGGATGCGCCGTTGTATCTCTTTTTTTTATTTCTTTTTCTTTTTTTTTCCTTTCCCCAGTCTAACGCGAAAAAAGAAGAGGCCGGTGGGATGGCTGGAGGAGAGTACAGAGTACTGGTTTACATCACGGAATGCTGACCCCAGCCACTCGTGACGGAGACATTGAAGTTGGTGGTTCCCTGCATTGAATCAAGGTTATGAGGCATAACCATGGCTTCAAACGGGTTCAATGGTGGTGCACAGGTGTGGATGTGGCCATTATTCCCTTCATGAGTGTTCGAGTGACCCTGAGCCATGTGCTGATCCCTCATGTCCATGCCCCTGCCATCATTATATGTTGATGGGGATTCCGCTGGAGTGCCCCCATTCGCCGGATTGGCGCCATTGTGGCTCGTATGTGGGTGGCTGCGTGGTATAGCTGTTCTGGGAGCCGTAGTCCATGATTCTTGTGGCCATCCTTGCATACTATCGGGAGATGAGTGCAGGACGGGCATGCCCAGTGCTGGTGTCGACTGTTGAGATGGTGGATAGTTCGAGGGGAGGGTATTGAATGCACCCGGAGCCTGTCCGCACTCGCCGCCGCTGTATATTCCAGGGAATATATTGCCATGTCCGCCATCAATGTCATTGAGGGCATGGTCCCATTCGGTCATCCCCACCTGAGGGTTGTATCCCGGCTGCATCTGTTTCTTATTATCCTTCTTAACTTGAAGGGGAACATAGCCAAGATTAGACTGGCCAGAGTGCATGCCCGGATGGACCTGGTGGTGTTGCATCTGGTCTCGCTGGTCATAGGAGCCGCTGCTATGAGAGCTCGACGACCGAACGCTGCGTGACATCCTGGGTGAAGATGGCCTCATGTTTGCCTTGCGAAGGTCATCCCTCATTGGTGTTGAGACACCAGGCTCAGAGGAGAATGACAAGCGAGATCTTTTCAGCTTCGACACAAACTCCTGAACGCCGCCGCTGGCTGCCCGGTCAGGCATTGGCCGGTCAGAATCCGACACTAGATTTATCAAAGACGTAAACTCCAGTGCAGCCTCAATAGACTCATTCTCCAGTAAGGATACGGTAGCTGTCAGGCTCTTCTGAGCATCTTTAACCAACTTGCTATCCCGGCCAAGCTGGAGGTTCTGCCAGAGCAGGCCAAGACCAGAAATCAGAATCAGTTCGCGTTTGTTCATGCATAGCGAAAGGCTCATTCGCCGGTCCTCGAGCAGCCGGAGGAGTTGAATAATGTGTTTAGCTGAGTCCACAAGGGACAGCATGGATGGTGATGAGCTGTCGGACGAGCCGAATGAGACCGCTGGCCGGCGGATCAGGGTTCGAATGAAGTAATAGACAGTTGACTAGTGCCGGAGGCTGGTTAGCTTCTGCGCGCCCTTTCAGTGACAACCAGTTAGCGCCTACGAAAGGTCGCTCTATTCCAACTTACCAGCAATATTGATCGACTGCTTGCAACTGAGGCATTGGGCTTGTCGAGGAGGAATGTGAGCTGGAGGTGGGCAGGGAGATTCTTCAACCACTCGTCCAGATTTTCTGCCAGTGAATGGACCGTGGAGAGGGAGATCTCATATCCTGCAGGAGAAGGATAGAGGTCCTCCAACACTCGATGGAGGATACGTGAGGCAGAGAACAGAGCCAGAGCGGATGACATCCTTGTCGACTCCTCTGGAATGGTTGGGACGAAGCCCGTTTCCGTGACATTTTCATCGTCAACGTCTGCCGGATACTCTGTTGAGATGTCCGATTCAGCTAATAACACTGGAAGCCCTGTGAAGGCAGCTCCGAATCTACACGTTCAGAATCGTTAGAACGACGTGCCTGGCTCAGATTGCAGGACATTTGCAGTGGTGAGATCTTACCGGTCAAGAGTATATTGACACCAGAATACCCTCTTCCGCGTTTCGCTTACCAGCGGGTTCAGGGAGAATCTCTCTTGGCTGTGGTGAAGGCCCAATTGAAGGCAGATCGAAACACCAAGGCCCCTGTAGTGCAGGAGGCTTCGATAATCCGCCTTGATGGAATAATAAACTTGAGCAAGAACATAGCACTGCAACGTGGTCAGTGAAATGTCATTCGCAAGCATCTTCAACTTCGGTATCCAATGTCGTTCGAAGAAAAGGGGATCTTGTGGCACACGAGACTGTGACGGAGGCCAAACTGTTAGCTCAAACATGTTCGATTCGATAAGGGGGGTTACCCAAGCTTAAGTGTACCGTGGATGAGATGGCAGCAATGCCGAAAATCAAGTTCAACTGTGCAAACGCATGGTGGTCTGCTTCAATGGAGTCCGGGTTGGTCGTATATCGACTGTATAGCTTTAGGATTTCCGGACGATGAACAATCGGGTATAGTGGTGCCCATTCTTGGAAGAAAATGTTCAATAGCCGATCCGACACCAGGCGGGGGAGAATGTTGGATGGAGTGATATCCTCGTGCCGCCTTGCATTCAACGATGGCGCACAAAGCAGGGCGTCTGCCAATGCAGTGGTTGGTGACTTGCCGCTCCTTTCAAGTCGAACAGAAAACGAGTCTATCGACCAAACATGTCAGTTGGATAACGCACACATACCCCTTACAAAGGCAGGGTAAAGGGGGGGGGGGGAGCTTGGTTTACCTATGAATGACCGTGTGCTGGAATGTCCAGTGAAGGATGTGTCGTCTGCCGGCTTTGAAATGGAGCGTGCTGACTGCTGAACGTATATGAGATCTTCGCCCTCATTGCGTGATGCCTGAGGCGGCCGTGGATAATACCCGGCAGGTGAGGTTGAAATGTTCGACACTGGGGAAGAAGTTGCTTTTTGAGACGAGAGAGAGAACGATTGGAGCCTTGTCAGGACATCTATCCTCTCATCTTTCTCGTCCAACAGGGACTTGAGTTCCCGTACTTCAGCTTCCAGGGACCGGACTCTGTCCTCCAGGGACTCGGTATATCCACGGGGAAACGCCCTTCTGCTAAGCTTATCACTCGTCTTGCATTCGAAGCCGACGTTTGTGCACTGCGAGCATGATGGCCGGATACCATCACATCGTATCTTCTTGCTCCGACACCGGTCACAGGCCTGGGCAACTCTGCTCTGTGAATTACTCCCGACCTTGATGACCTTCATGGGTAAGATGCCTGGCATGCTAGCTACCCTATTGCTTTCACACTTTCGATTGTTGTTGGAATTCGACCACCGGTATGATTCCGAGATCAATAAGATGAACTAGGGGAGGATCGATCTTTTTGTTTCTCGAGGGACAGGCAGGCAGACTAAGGGAGAAGAGTCCAGCCCCCTTTGGTCCACAGCAGAGGTCGTCGCGGGATGGGGGTACCGGGTCAACGGGGTTTTCTTCGCCCAGTTTTCGTCAGCCATCGTGAGGGGTTTTTTAAGTAGGTACGCTTCCACTATTCCTAGTTCTCTTGATTGAAGGAAATGCAAAAATCATATATAAAGAATCTAGAGGGCTAATTAGACAGGAGCAGATCCGCCCCCAGAGATAAGTATATATCTTTTTTAACACTTGCAAAGTCTGGCAAAAGCGTTAGGATGACCAGTTAAGACGCATTGAAGATCGTCTCCTCACCCCCCCCAGTATACTCAGTCATCCATGGTTAACAAAAACCCGAGCTCTCTCTAGGTGAACCTAGTTCAATCTTCCTTTTTATTTGCTTTTTCGATTTCCTTAATTTCTTATTTTTCCTATTTATTTTTATTTTTATAGTTAATTTTGTATCTTTCCTTGCTCCAACTGACTCCTTGTTGTCTTTTTTTCCCGAATTGGCCATCCCCCTTTTTGAACACCTTAACTCAACTTCAATTTCTTGCCATTTTCTCACCCACAGCCACCACCACTGCTACTACCGACATCGACATCATCCTCCTCCTCCCAAATAATCATCTCCTCCGTGAGGGCTCGAGTGACCTCGGGGGCAGCATATCTGCCAAGACCCGGGCGAACGGAGTCTCTGCGCGGCTCGGCAACGTCGAAACTTCCAACATCGAATATCCACCGGGAGGGACTCGGGACTAAAAGCAAGACCCAAAGCTAACAGAAAACGACAACGAGGGGAGGAGTAAAACAGACCGAAGACGAGAAAGTCACGATGCCTGGCCGCAACTCAGCCCTCTGCCGTCCTTTTCTGGATCTGATGATCTGACCTTCCTTGCAGCATCCCTTGCAAGCACAGCACAAGACCTGACCAGACCTGGAGTTCTTCCCTACACTCCATCAGATGCAAGAGCTGTCACGCTCACTGAAACGCTGTTGGTACTACCATCGACCGTTGCAGTTACAGTGGCTTCAAGTCGCATGGCCACGGGCCTGGAGCCACGTCTTGGAGCCATGTCTCTCTTGAAACCACGAGGAGGGACTTTCGTCGTGGGTCGATGATGGTGGAGGAGCGAGCGTACAAGACCATGAAGAAATGGGGATGGCAACATAAGAAAAGGGACTCCCAAGTTCCTGAAGAGGAGAGGGGAGAGTCAGAGAAAAAGAAAAGAATCATGCGAATATCAGCCACGCCTTAGCCTGATCCTGCCCTGCTCCGATGCATGAGCGGAGAGCCCTCTCGTTAAGCTCGTCTCTGTTTGATGGAGAAACTTCATTCTGCCTGCACAGTCCCTCGATGACCTTTCGTCATAAAGCAAGCTTCCAACTTTCAACCAGTAACAAAGATGTCCACATTTCTTGATTTTTTAACCTTTTTGGGAACCCTTTTCCCTTAACCTTTGCGACTTGCAGAAAAAGACTTTATCTGTCTCCATATATCGAACCAGGCCGGAATCGTCTCAATCTTCCCTAGAACACTGGGCCTTCCCCTGTTTTACCAACGACACGAGAGCTTAACCGTTCTTTTTCGGCGCTACCTTAGTCGAGCCACGGGCCCTGTCTATCATCCGCAGTGGCGCTCCTACCGTTCTTTTGCTTTCCCGCGGCAAATCCCCATAAAATAACGAGTACCACAGATATTTCTCGGAAAAGTAGGCTATGCCCGAGCTAAGGCAGGGAGCAACGATCTTGTTGAGCAGAATCCAACGCTCTGTCTCTGGGACTTTTTTTGATATCCAGATTCACTCCCAGCCAAGACACCGAGTTACCGGCATCGGCTTCCCAACTCATTATAATTATGCCAGACGCCAGACAAACAACGGTTGCAGAGCGATCTGCACGGTTCGTGCGCCATTCTAGACGCAAGACTTCCTTGCATTTATCACGGGCATCGCAAGGTTTGGGCTCCTTCCCTCGGCTTAACTGAGCCTCCCTCTTTGACATCGAGTTGCTGCGTTACGCAGCAGGTGTACTCTTGTACAACCTCACTGAGTACAGTATGCAGAGCGTTAGAGTGAATGAGATGAGAGAGAGAAAGAGAAAGAGGATTGGGGAAACCTGGAATTTGATGGATCATCTCCCCAACATGGGTCTAAAAGGACCTTGCTGGTGTTGTTCAAGGCTGAATCTCACCTACACTAATATTTGCTCGCCTGATTTTGAGTTCAACCGTGTCGGAAACGGTCCATTATCCCCATAATTGGGCAGCGCAGGAGAGGTTGGGGACTCTTGATTTTTCTTATGAGCCAACCAGATCATAGTGCCATCGCACCTTCAGGGGAAGGTCAAAGATGCCACTGGAGACGCCTCGAAAAAATAGCTATTAGGACCGCGAATCCCTAAACAACAAGCATGGAGGAGCACTTATGCCAAACAGCCAGGATGGATTCATGTCTCGTCGACAGCCCGCCACCCCTTATAAGGAAAATGCGCCGTTCACGGAACACTTTCTAAAGAGGCTAGTTAAGCAGATCTAAGGAATCACGCGAAACGTGCTTCTCCACGGGCACGGACTGAAGAATATCCTCTCGTTTTCCCAGATATAAATACCCGCTCAAATTCACCCGCTTTTGAGTTAAGAGGTCGTTTTTTTCCGTTTTGGTGAGTGTGGAGTACTACAGGCTAAACTTGCACCCTCATTTTACATACGAACAGGAATTTCGCACCAAATTAGGCTAACGGTGAGATCTGTCTGTATCGTCCAGACAAAGCCCCCTAAACTATTTCCTATTCGCTATTAATTGACGAATACTAGCTTTCTGGAATATCCCATCGAACACGCCAAGCTACGCCTGGAAAAACGAAAACGCCCAATTAACGGGACGCTAAAATGCTCCGTAAGGAAATATCTCGCATGGATGATCTCAAGGGCTGCCTGATAATTGGCTGCCTTAGGAGAAATCTTCATCAATGTCAGCAGAAGAACACTGCGAATTAAGGTACGCCTGAACCGTTCTTGATTCAAGCAACTCTAGCTTCTGCGAAAGTAACCGGCAGCCGAATTAGCATTTTCACACGTGTCAAATACCAAAAAATATGTAAAATGGGGACTGGAACCAACCTTTTCATCTAGATCGCGATTGCTTTTCGTGAGAAGGTTCTCTTCGAGAGACCGAAACTTCATAGCCGTATCCCAAACGGACCTTCGAATAAGCACATCATCCACCTTATCTGCTAGCCCCCTGACATATTCTGTAGCTGCTTGCAACAGAGCAAGTTGGTTTGCAACGCGTTCCTGGATTATCACCACTGCTCGCAGCTGAAAAATATCCCATCTTGAATCCTCTGATAAAAATTGCCCGAGTTTTCGAGCCCCGGTTATTTCTTCTTTCTTCCAAAATACCCGCAGGTCTCTTCCCCCATCGTTTGTTTGTAACACCCGGAATTCCAATCCATCCTCCTCGTTGACGCAAATCCACCAGACAAAATCGCTGTGCCAAGCCGTCTCTTGGTCGTGGTCGTCTCCCGCATCGAAAATACGAACCCCAGGGCCGTCCTCGCATACAGCCCTTTTTGGTGGCTTAAGTGGGTCGTCATCAGGGATATCGAGATCAAGAAGGAGTTGTTGAGCACTCTTCAAACCTTGGTCCAAGAACCCATAGGAGAATATCATTTCTGATGCTCCCTTGCGGTCCCCATACCTGTTCAACGGTCAGTTACTTCTCCCCCCCCCCCCCCCCTGTGGCGATCCTCTCAAGTATTCTTTGGCTTCAGGATCCAAAACCTACGTGATTGTAACCTCTTCTCCCTCCTTAAGTCGTTGACCCCACCGCAGCTGTAACACGGCATTGCCATCGAGGTCTGTCTCGTACAGAGCTGCGGTCTTATTCCCAGCCACGTGGTTTGCCATATCAATGCAAGGTACCATTGCATTACCGGTTCCTGGCAACTCCATAGCACGAGATCTATACATTGCGTCAACTACTTTCCAGTCGTCAAACTCGAGCTGTCCCGTCTCAGGATGCCACCACTCCTTCTGACACCACGGGATGTTAAACGTGCTATCTCGTAAATGGTCGAATTCCCGGGCGAGAGACTGTATCTTTGTATCTAGGGCAGGCTCCAGGGAGGTCCCCCGTAGTAGCTCGCGTTCCTCCAGCGTATAGAACGTAGGCAGCTCATAGACCGCTGGGAAAAACTTGATGTACTCTGTCCATGGGGATGAAATACCCACTTGTTCCCCCTTTCCTACACTTGAATGCGTGATTTGGAGCAACAAGAATATCATTATCGCACCTCTAGATCCCTATAAGAAATATTAGCCTACCTGTCCTAATTAATCCATGCATGCATTTGATGTATATAGCTATGCAAATCTAGCTTATTGAAACAAGGACAACCGGAAGCGCAAGGGCACTAACCTTCCCAAAATCACCGACTGCGTCCAAGACATCCTTTAGGTGCTTGTCAGACTTTGCATGAGTTTCCACTCTTTCCTGGGAGAGGATTAGATCGGGTGGGACTTTCATGAGTATCTCTGGCTCGAGGCCTGGCTCGTCCAAAATAGGTTCCTGACTATTAGGAGAGCCAATTGCAAGAACAGCCGAGCCCTTGTCGATATCTTCACCGTCATAAGGAGGCTGCTTAATCTCAACACCATGAAAAGTGACGCTGTTGAGTCTTGCCCATGCCTGGAGCGCATCCACAGGGAGATACTGTCTCTTCATTATTTGGATTCTTGCTTTCTTGCAATGGGTTTCTGCTTTAAGAAGTCTATACCTTGTTATTATTATTATTATTATTAGTTCAGTGCGTATGTACATGCAGTCAAGGCTCTTACAGACTATATCTCCTTTCCCTGGTGGCTCTTTTTTTCCCAACCCCTCGGAACGCTTGAGAACACAGTAAGGCGCTGGCTCAACTAGTCAACTAGTTAGGAGAAAGTAGGGGGGATGATCAAGCTCTGGTCGGATAATCGCAAGGCGGTTAACTAACTGTTGACTAGCAATGTAAAAACCCACGCAGCAGCCGATCAGTAGATCACTCCTTAACTATCCAGCGGGTAGTGCAATCGTGAGCAAAATGTAAACATCAACAACGATAGCACGTCGTGTAAATAAGTCTGATATGACGTAGGGATGTTATTTTATGGGTGGAGCGACCTGATAGCAAGGAAGTCGCTGCTTAGTCAGGGGCAAGGCACGATCGAAGCAGCCTTTAAGACGTGCAGACTAAAAAAAACATACTAACTACTGCGCATCCACACGACCATCGACCGCTTCCTGGTCTATAAGATGCTCTCCCTAAGGGTGGAGAGAGCATCTGGCTATAGCAGACAGTGCTATCCCAGGGCGTCGAGATTACCGCGTCGAGTTAGTTACAGTTTTGAGTGGGATTCCAATGTTGCCCTGAGCTGCAACTAGGAGTATACCAAGAAGCTCTCACCCTCCAGTACTGGTTGATTTGGCAGCGAGACGAAACCGTACAGTGTGTCATAAGTACAGCTGGTCACAGCAACTTGGGTACGCCTGCTAGGCTGAGTTGTTGAAATGACAGTTATTTTAGTACGGAGGACTCCGTTCAAGAAAAAGTGTAAGTACAGTGATATCGCCACCATAGCAAGGTCCCCAGGCAGGAAATGGTTGGCCAGCCCAGAATGAACAAGAACCATTCATTACACGGTAAATCAAGATAACCACTTGAAAATCCTACTGCTCCCGTTGGACGACGGTAGAAACTCGGAGATTTCCAGCAGCCTTATCTTGTCAATTTTTTCCGACGCCGAGACTGCAGATGATGTCATGGCCAATTCTGGCTATGTACTACAAAACTTGCGCTTTGTTGCTGCGGCTTCTCCCAATCATTCAATCGTTTTGCTTCGCTTGCCGTGATATTGGTTAACTCGATATCATAATGTCGTTCAAAAGGATATTATCGTCGCTTCCTGCGATACAATCTCGGACTACCGTACGGCTTCGCCCTGCACCCAGAGAATGGTTTTGCCCCAATTTCCCCACCGCCCACCTGAGTAGTTGGCGTGGCTCTGGCACCGAGGACCAAAGTGTGAACCGCGTGAAGAAAGGGGACACCACGGATCCGCAAACTGAAGCCACCAGGTCGGGCCTTAAGGAGAAAGAGGAAAAGAAAGGCTTACATGACTTGTCGAAAAGCCAATCCACGACAGAGAAGGACCAGCAGAAGTCAACAAGCAAAACAGAGGAGGAATTTCCCAAGGCACCGAAACCGGTAATTGGAATGACGGACGAACGGGGCGAGGTCAGTACTAGTAGGATGCCAATTCCTGTTTCAATATTCACTGAGGGTGGGTGGCTGATATTTGCATTCGTGAGTGGCGCAGAAGGGTGCATAAGTATGGTCCACCGGGAGCAGGAATTAGAGGATCTGGAGATATTCCCGGTCTAGATGTTAAACATCATATTACATGGCGGCAAAATTGTGCCCAACAGAACTAATTTCCGAGCACTTGATTGAACGCCTTGCAGATCATCTACCAACTTTGAAGCTCAGTATCTGGTGGCAGCAGTCAGTGTTGGTTCCGTTAGTTTCAATATGAATCAGGGGTACTCACGTCATGTCTTCCGATTGAAACAATTTCGTCTTCGGAGATCCTCGTCCCCTCCGCGCCTTCTACAAAGGCAATAGGGACATCTCCCATGACCTTCCTGGCTACATCCCCCACTGTACTATTCCTAATACCAAGGCAAAATTAGCTTTGAAAATTTTAAAATAGCGGATTTGATAGGCATACTTGTTGACTAGAACACAGTCTCTGAATACCGCATTTCCTGTCGCACCAGATGCAAACGTGTGAACATTTCGTACCGGGAAAACTGGGACCAGCCCTAGTAGTTCAGCAGCGCGCGATAGCACCTGTACGACTCCAGTAGACCCAAATCGATAGAGAACGAGATCTTTCAAATTCTCAACACGACTGCAAGGAATCGGTGAGAACCGGTGAAAAAATGTTGGGCATACTGGGGGCATTACTTACTTCTTTAGCTTTTCGTCCATTTCCTTCAGGCCTCCGCCGTCAGGGTCACCCATTGCTATCAGGTCTTCCCGTGTGTCCACAAATTCGCTCCCTTCTATATATTTAATATACCCTTGTTTTGTCAACTTCCTTAGGAATACTTCGGAGATGGCAGAGCAGAGGACAATTGATTTAGGATCTTCCTGTTTGGCGATCTTGCTAATATTCTGGAATTCAAATGTCAGTAATGGAACACTTGATGATACCCTCAGTACGGAGAAGGGGCCGGGGGGGAGAGCGGACGTGCCTTATCTGAATCCGGGTGATCGATTTTATTAAGTGCGATAACAGTCGGAAATTTTTCGTCAATAAAAGCAACAACAACTTTCGAGATAGTCTCGTTTGACCACTCTTCCAGCGGCTCTTTCAAATTTATTCGGTCAAGGCATCTTGCAACAATCTTCGATGTACTTCCATACCCCGAAAATTGTGTTTGCAAAGTCTCGACAGCAGTGGACTCTATCACTATGTCAGGATATAGCAGGCTAGGTAGAAGGGGTATCACAAATTCCCACACGTACTTGTTGCAATATGTTTTCTCTTGATTGAACCCCTATAGAGCGAAGAGCGAGTAAGCATTCCACCCGCGTGTATAGATCAACGAGGACTGAGAAATACCATTTATCCATTAGATTTCCTTCTATCCATCTAACGATTTCGGATTTTAACCAAACAATATCCTGGGACGGGTCGTACCCCCTGGTGACCTTTCCTATCCCCGACTTTAGTTTTCTACTCATTAATTGTCCCAGAGTACCAAACGCCTACCTTCAGCATCAGTTGTCCCACTGACATCAACGACATGTATCAATGCGTCTGCGTGCCGCAGGTCATCCAAGAACTTATTTCCAAGGCCTTTTCCTTCGTGGGCTCCCGGCACAAGACCGGCAACATCTAGAAGTTCAATTGGCACTGATCTACGGCCCTCGTGGCATCCGCCATAATTGGGCTTGCATCGGTCCTGTAGATTATATCGGCTGCAAGCGCAGTCTACCTGTAGATATCCAATAGCGCGCTGCGGGTCAATCGTCGTGAATCTAAAGCGCCGCAGAATACACTGGTTAGCCCCCAGTGAAATGAACGATAGAGGACGGAATAAACATACGGAAAATTCCCTGGTGCCAGCGTATGGCTCTATCAGTTTATAAACCATCACGACCGCACTTCTTGCGACTTCGAGAACATACCAACTTTGGATGAGGCATCTGTTAAGCTGCCCCGCTAGCATGTTAGACATTTCTTATCTCAATAGTACAACTTTTCGCGGGTCCCATTCTTCTCCGGAGGGATTGATACCTGTTTAATGTCGTTGATTTTCCAGAAGATGGCTTTCCAACAAGCCCAATTAGCGGATCGCGAGGCATGACAGTTGCTTGCGCGTTTTGTGGTGACTTTTTGCTTGACGTTGGTGGTTTGAATGCTTTTGCGGCACAAAAAGTCTCGAAAGTCTTGGCACTCGTAGTTTCTTTTGACATCAACTTCGGCTCAACAACAACATCTACAAACATCAACACCCACGCCTAGTACTATGGCTTGCACTACAGATAATGACTATGTTGTTATCAAGATTGACTTATGACTTGTCAACAAAGTGTATTGATATTATGGTTTACCATAAACTATTGCTAGATCATACCCATATATAGAAGTCCGATGGACTTACATTCACTATGCTTGAATGAATACCCTTTATCTTGATATGGGCAGCATGCTAGCTTGGTTATTCACAGTCATAAAAAGCGTGTCTGGTTACTAGGCCATGCGACGCAAACAGTGAACCATAAGGGACTGCCGCCCTATGACTCACTCACGTCTTCCTACCTTATATACATAACTGAAAACTGCACATTTGGAACCTGCCAGTCCTCCCAAATATCCAAATCCTGACCGGACTTCGAATATTCCCCAGAAAAGCTATTCTGCTGCTATCATAGCAGCCCGCAGCCATGTGGTTGCTTCAACAACCAGTCGTATTTACCCATGTGAGGAAACACGTCAGCATGTTGTTGGCTCTCCCGCTTGAGCTTCGCCTGAAAATCTACCTGTTCTACTTCATGTCAGTCACAATTTATCTCGGAGATCCTCGCCCAGCTCCATTGTACTTTACACGAGTATACGGGCCGAAATACGACCCGCTAGCGATCCTTCGTACCTGCCGCCAAATATCTCGTGAAGCGGGTAGTTTGTTCCTTGGGAACGTTACAATCTCTACTGATCATCCTGATTATCCGGTCTGTCACTTCAATCGATTATCTCTGCAGCTTCGTTCGAGGATCCGTCATGTGGAGCTTAGATTGGTCTCTTTCATCTGGCTTCTGTCCGAAATACCGGAATCTTCGATTGCATATAGGTTTAACCTGATACCCGGTCTTCGGCTGGATACACTTACTGTCTATGGAACGAAGTCGTGTTATGACCTTGTTGACGGGTTCGTGAAGTTTGGTAACGGTTGGAAAGAATTACGAATTATTGTCCCATCGTTAAATGTGGATGCGTTTAAAGAAGTCGTCGCCATGGCAGCTCCAGATGCAATGGAAACACAACGGCCAACAGTTACTTGGCAATCTTTGATTGAGAGGCGCGATGGCACTGACTCCAACGCATCCGTGTCTCTCTACTGCACAACACAGCCTTGGATACCAAAGTCCGTACTAGACCCATCTACGCGAGAGCTGGTTTCATCAACAAATCTGCAGGATCTGGCCCTAAAAAAGGAAATTGGCGAGTTACTGTTCATTGTGAAACGTGGCGAAGGCGCTACTTACGCCGTTCAGCATAATACAACCAGAGCCGCTATTAAAGAATTGGCCTCTCAGCGCGAGAAAAGGGAAGACCCGTCGTTAAAAGAGGCTATAGAATGCATGAGGGAGTTTGATCCAGTACTCAACAGGATTAGGGCCGAGGCCGCCTATGCTTCCAGGTGGGCTTCGTGGCAGGGAGCGTCGCTGTGATCTTCGTATCGCTTGCCAGTGTTTAGTTAGTTACGTCACTACAATCCGTTCTGTGTACGTTAATTTGGACGCGGTAATCAGCTGGCATTGAGTACATGAACTTCTGCTGTATGCCCCAGGTTGAATGGCAAACAAGGAATTATACTTGTCCCTCGAGGACACAAAATTTTCTATCAACGTCATGATGATGTCAGCTCTTGCATCCACCACACATTATAGTACTCCGTAGATAGAGATGGTATTTATAGCATTTGGGTATTCACCTACTACCCAACATACAATCATTTTACCCTACAATATTCTAATATAAATAGTACACATCCAAAAATCGCCATGTCCAATCCATTCCGCAACGGTGGCGTGAAAAACGAATCTGCTGGCCCAGTTGCCTCCGACTCACTCGCCGCCGAGTCAGTACGAGAACAGGGAAAGTTTGGAGAGAATAAGAACAGCCAGCCTCTGGGGGTACAGGGTAGCCATTCCACGCTTGCAAATACAGACACTTCCGGTGCATCGAAGCTTCAAGCAGCTCCAGATGCGGAGGCTCGCCTAGCTGAAGCAGAATGGGGAGAAGGACAACCGCAGACACGCTCTCAGACCCAGGCTCGAAGTCAGGGGCAAACAAAATCACTTGGAGACGAACAGCAGCAGCGAGAGAGGCAGAATCAGGGCCAGGGAAGTAATGAGATATCAGGAGCTTCTTCAGGCGCTACTAGCTCAGGACAAGGAGATAGTTCAGGTTCATCGTTGAATACTGCTCCTCATTACATCGATCCAGTGCTTGGTAGGGCGCAGGCTTCAAAACCGAAAGGCAATAACCTGAAAGAAGGCGGGTTTGGAGATGACCCGGCGCGGAATGCGAGCTTCAATGCTGATATTGGGTCTAAGAAGGATCCAGGTCTGCAGGCGGAAAAGGAGATTGGCACCATGAGCGCACAGAATGCTCCAGGGCCAATATCTAAAGGAGGGCCGGATCTCATGGGAGGAAGCGAAAGGAAGACCGGAGCATCATATAACGTGCTTGGATCTGAAGAAGACGCATAAGATGTTATTTAACAGTGTCTTTCTCGCCCCTGTAACGTTAGCAACACAGCTCTACTGTCACAAAATATGAATATTGGTATAATAGGGAACATAATGTCAGTAAAGTGAATAAAAGATTTTGATTCCATCCTCATGGTACACCATAAAACACACATAGACGCCATGGAACATATAAGTAAAGAGTACGGAAGAGTCAAGGGAAGTTGTAGTAAGAACCAATCCGAGGGAAGCCAAACAAAAACAAGCCCATTTCCCCCTCAGATTTGAACACAAGTCCAAAATTTATTGCCAGGATGCAGAAGATTGCCATGGAGATGAAATGACGAGCACGGAACGAAGAGGGATGTATCTAACACGTTCGGCCGAGGAAAAACGGGTAATGAATGGTAGGTGGATCAGGCCATTAGAGAGGTAAAGGGAGAAGATAGGGAGTTGTATATATAACTCCCTATATCTTGACCTTCTTGGTCTCCTTCTGCACAACTTTGACTAGCTCATCGTATACTGCTGAGTAGTCCTCTTTCTTGTCATCAGATTCTTTCTCGTCCTTTTTCTTGTTCTTTACTCCCTTTGGAAGGACCATCACGACACTGGTTGGCCGTTTCGTAGCACCGGCGTTTCCAAGCTCGGCTCTGGAGGAGACGTAAATGTAAGGGATTCCATGGTCTTCGCAAAGAACTGGAATGTGGGATATTACATCCATTGGGGATATATCGGCAGCTAGGACAACAATGGCAGATGGTGTGGTGATTGCTGCATTCGCTGAAGGGGTGGGAGATTTTCTGACGGCCTTCACAACTTCCTTTACTCCTCGTTTTAGGGCCTTGCTTCCAGCAGCTGAAATTTCACAAAATAGTGGTCAGCGACATATGATTCTACATGGACAGAAGCAATAATGGCGCAACAGGAGGACTCACCCTTCTTTACGCTCTTCAACACCTTCTTCGCGACCTTATCCTCTGCAAGCGGGTTTGCGAAAGGCACCAAAGCTCCAAGAGGGCGCTCTTCGCTGCCATCGCCATTGACTATGACAGCATCGTTATCTGGCGTCCTGGAGGCCAATTCTTGCTCCACAGCTTTCTCGAGAAGGTCAACATTCTTCTTCTCCTTCTTGGACTTTTTGTGCACACCATCGGTCTCCGATCGCTTCTTCTCCTTCTTCTCTTTCTTCTCCTTATCGCTTCGGTCCTTGGCCATTGTGTGAGATATGAGCCTAGCACGCCTCTTCCCGTCCAAACTCCGCTAAACAATGTATCCGTATCGTGTCAAGGGGTCTTGTAGATGGCACTCTGATAATAGTGAAAAGCACTGTCTTTAATTTTCTATATTTTTACGATCTCCAAAAAAAAAAAAAAAAAAAAAAAAAAAAAAAAAAAAGCTGCTTGTCTCGAAAACTCAAAAACTGTCTACGCTAAGCCAGAAGCGGAAATCCCCGTATTTGCGGCCCAAAAAGGCGGTTCAGGGCCTTTGCCTTCAACAACGAAACGGCCGAATGGTGTAGTTGGTTATCACGTGTCGTTAACACCGACAAGGTCCTGAGATCGAGCCTCAGTTTGGTCATTCTGTTTCTTTTTTTTTCCCTCTTTTCTTCATTGACTTTTCTATGTCAAGTTGACCGATGTTTCATTATAAGGGAACATGAGAGGCTACTGAATAGAAGAGAAATAAGGACCAAGTGTATAAAGATATCAATTGCTTTCTAAGTACTATACAGCGCAATCACCAATCCGTAATTTTGAGTCTTCCTCTAATTGGTACTCTTCGTAAATTTACTCATCATCACCACCGTGGGCAAGACGACCAGGCTTGGACATGAGATACTCGTTCCTGTATTTATCATTAGCATCGCTCACTTGATACACAAATACCCATAGTACATTCAGTGGTGTAAAAAAGAGGAAAGAAAGAAAAAAATGAATAAGACTAGACATACTTCTTGGTGGCCCAGTCCATGAGAGCGTAGGCAGCAATGAATGGGGGCAGAACGTAGAGGACCTGTGCCTTGGCTCGTCTGTAGGTGTTGAAGAAGGCATTGTAGAGCATACCAGCGGCGGGCCGCTGACGGTTCTGAGAAAGAGAGTAGGTAGTGATGCCCTTCATTGGGGTAGGAACACCTGATGTTCGACAAACTAGTTAGTTGCCTGGGTATCGGATAGCGCAATAGGCCGGTATCGTGTGAAATCGCATGGCGCCGTCCCGGGGCTTGTGAAAGCGGGATACGGCTGATGTACGGAACGTGGAGGGAAGCAGAACATACCGAAGTTACCCCATCCACCGAGGAACCTATACTCAGTTGTCAGCATATCTGTCCATTATGCGTTCTTGACCATATCCTAAACCGCCTTGAAAGCGATGGGTGAGTCCTGATGATGCCGATGGTCTCGGAAACTGGGTGGTGCAATGCACTTACACTCCATGCTTTGGGTCGAGATGGCCACCCATGATGTCGACAAAGGAATTGAACGATAGGAAGGGAAGGTAAAAGCTCAGAAACCCTGGCCGCTGCGGTCGTCAATTGGCAGATCTGGTCGATAGGATGAAGCCAGAGCGAAGTTGTGCTTCCGGTGTTGGCGAAGAAGTTGGACATGTTCTGCGTCGGCGCTAGGCCGTTTCGGGCATGGTGAGGATATCAAATCGAAAACCTCCAAAGCTCTGCGCGAAGAGACAGTTGCCGACCCATTGTGAACGAGATACAGACACCAGCCTTAAACGCCCGGTTAGAGCTGAATATATTCACCATGGCGAACTCTCTGTCGGCTCTCTACAAATATGCCATACCGGCTGCCGTCGGCGTCTCCTTTGTCCAAGCCTCAATGTACGATGTGAAGGGAGGATACCGCGCAGTTATCTTTGACAGACTCACTGGTGTGAAGGAAAAGGTTGTCAACGAGGGAACACATTTCCTTATTCCATGGCTACAGAAGAGCATTATCTACGATGTCAGGACGAAGCCCAGGAACATCTCTACAACGACCGGAAGTAAGGATTTGCAGATGGTCAGCCTGACACTCAGAGTGCTCCATAGGCCTGAGGTTCAAAAGCTACCTGCTATCTATCAGGTGAGTGGAATATCCGCTACATATACTCATATAGGCGACGGCAGAATTGCTAATATTGAACTGCTATAGCAACTTGGACAAGACTACGATGAGAGGGTTCTTCCATCCATCGGAAACGAAGTTCTTAAGTCCATCGTCGCACAATTCGATGCCGCAGAGCTGATCACACAGCGAGAAGCTGTGTCAAACCGCATTCGTACCGACCTTCTTCGACGTGCCAAGGAGTTCAACATTGCCCTGGAGGACGTCTCCATCACCCATATGACTTTTGGCCGTGAATTTACCAAGGCCGTTGAGCAGAAGCAGATTGCACAGCAAGATGCCGAAAGAGCCCGCTTCATCGTCGAGCGAGCTGAGCAGGAGAGACAAGCCAACGTTATACGTGCCGAGGGAGAGGCAGAGAGTGCCGATATCATCAGCAAGGCCGTTGCTAAAGCCGGTGACGGTCTGATCCAAATCCGAAGAATCGAAGCCAGCAGAGATATTGCGCAGACGCTTGCTTCAAACCCCAATGTCACATATATTCCCGGCGGCGAAGGTGGGAAGGAAGGCGGAAAAGGCACCGGTCTTCTCCTTGGTTTGAGGTCATAAAGCAGAGAAGCTTGCTAGGTGTTGGTGTGTTTGTTATGACTGTATAACAAGTATCTGATTCTCCCCCCCTTCCCCAAGCGATGTATTAAAGCTACTCTTCTAGTTTGTTTAATTATATGGTCTCTTCTCATCGAAGTCTTCCTCGTTTTGCTTGTTTTTGGATGTTCTCCATGCTTCTTCTGTTATTATTTTTACTGACATTGCAGCTATACCATCAAACATCCTACAAACCATGCCCTTATCTTTTACCATGGAAGAAGAGGTATGTTTCTTTCTGTCTCCTTAAAGACTTCACATATGTTAACAGCCACCTTAAAGTATCATAAAATTTTCCCGGTAGATGCTTCTGTCACTCTTTATGTCACTGGTCCTTCCAAATCCTAAATACCCGCAAACAGTGCAAACCAGCACCTGCTCAGCCTATGATGATATTCAGAGTTCCAAAGATGACACTTCAGAGACCGGAACCTTCTAACTTTTCCTCTGCCTATAAAACCCAAGCTTTTCCCAAGGAATAAAAATTCCCTTCGAGCAAATATGATACTGCTTTGCTCTACGTACAATATTCCATATAGATCTCTATCTTTGGGTCGTCTACCCCAGCATATCCCCTATCCCTTGACTCTTTATCACTGACAAACAAGGGCCAATATTTTAGAAATTCCTACTAATAAGACAGTTCGGCGGGCCGGTCAAAATGGAGCCCGATCCTCTTTTGGAAAATATGTTTGAAAGGTTAAGGATAAAAGACGAGGTCTATGGGGGCCCTAAGCTTTCTACAGACCTGGGCATGTGTAAGCTTTATCAACATACACTGGGTTGGAAACACAATATCAAAACCCTGGGCCCTGCGAAAATCTCAGAGGTTAAATGCGTGGCCTCATACAACTGGGTACGCAAGGATAGGGTGACCATGCTAATTCCAGGTAAGGAGATACCGATCTTGATTTGGTCTTACTACTCCAACAATAATACTCGATCACTAACGTAAGCCATGAATAGGAGCTCCTCCTGTTTGGCATCCATCACACAGTATATGCCATAGTGCTGAAACCGAAGGAATATCCCAAAGTGACGTTGAGACTACCTACAAATGGCTGCCAGGTAGAAGTCCCGAAGATGCCTACAGGGTAGTGTATCAAAATGACGGCAAAGGTGGATGGCATGGACACCCGCTGGAACCTATGATCTATGCCGCTAAGCTTATGGATCCGACCTTTGACCTGAGCAAGTTTGATTTTGTGATTGACGCGGCTGCCATAGAATCCATGCTCGCCTTCATACAATTTGAGGCCAACGACCATAACTTGAAAGTTGAACTAGTCAATAGGACCGTGTTTATTGCCAGCGAGGAATCAGAACGCTACCCATACAGCTACCAACCTCTGGTAGATGGCGCTCTCACGTGGGAAGACTGCGTCAAGGACTCAATATCCCATCAGAGAGTGCTCTCGTATGTCTTTGGGGGGCATCGGATTCTTATCAGGTGTTCCACCCATGGCTATCTTCCCGGATCAGCTGGAGAGGGAGCGGAGGGTAAAGAAGGTGAAGGACCCGTCGTCGAGAAAGATAACGGTTCGGACGCCCCTAGATTTGGTACTTCAGCCAAAGGGTTCCCGGTAGCTCATCGCTGTGGGAGGACTATACCGCAGGAAGCAATCTTCGACTTTAAGGGCAATGAAAAAGGCGCTCCCCGCAATTCACCTTCGGAGGGAGATATCGGTTGGATGTGGATTCGACAAGTCTCGAAGATCATGACTGTAGAGACAGGTGGAGCGTACAATAATGCTAAGGTCCAAGATACCACCTCACTTGTGCATCAGTGGGAAGATAAAAACCGGCTTGATCTCGTGCAGCTTGCAGATTTGTTGTCAAAAATGCGGCACTATGCTAATGAATCCCGCTCTAGGGGGCTCTTGATCCGCCGCGTGATATATCCCAAACCCGAATTCATGTCGGTTATTGAATCAAAAACTCCTCGAACCATATCCCTTGCCATGCTCAACTACGACCCGACCTCAAGTAAGGAACCCTCTAGTACTAACGAGGAGGAAAAGGAGCGCAATACTGGGTTAGGCAGTTTCCCAAAGTGCACCATCAAGGAGAAAGCTGAGCAGGAATTTTATACAGTGGCGGGCATCTCAAAGAGCAGCTCCTTGGAATCCGTTGCCTTGACCGACTGGGAGTTTTTGGACGAAGCGGAGTGCGACACGGAGTGGATTGAGGTCGAGAGCAGAAGATCAAAGCCTAAGAAACTCTCGAACTAATCTAAGGGAATTGCAGGCCTAGGTGAGGATGTGATTGTAGTATTTGACATGGCATTTGAGGTGTTGACTTGGTAACCGGCATATAAAGTGACTTCATGGCGACTCGTTTAGACTTTGTTTAGGCTCTGGATATAGGAATATGGGGTCATTATATCTAACTATGGGTTGTTTATCCAGCTGTTGATGTACTCCAGCAGTATTCCACTTGGTGATGTTGTACCTAGTTATCAATGTTAGCTTTGTAGGCTGTTTGTAGAAGTTCCGGCGCAGGAAACCTGGCGCTTACACAGCAAAAAGACGAAAAATACGAAAAGTAAAATAAAGTAAAAAAAATTGCATGCATACAATCACCGTCAGAAAAGGCTTATCCATCCCATAAAGCAAAGGAAACGGCATCTAGCGAGTGAAACTCCTAGCAATCTTCCCAGGGTCACCGGCGATATCCACCAGCGTAGACGAAGCAAAGAATGCCGAAACCTCGCCCGCAAGCCCGGAAGGCTTCAAGGGTGAAATCGACTGATACCCAACATAAGACACAGAGCACATCCGCATCACTTATCGACTCTGCACCGATCTCTCTGCAACAGCTGATTCTGAATATATTTGCGGATAGGCTGGCGGTGCGGCCTGGCGCTGCTGGGCAAGAGAGTGGCAGTGGCACCGGCACGACACTGAGAGAGCAGGTTCAGGCTATAAAGTCGCATCTATTCAATCGCGATTTCGACTCTGCCTTTGCTGATGCGGACCCCGACATGCTGAGGGCTTATGCTCTTCGCTGGAGTGCTGGAAGAGCGCTCGCGTATACAGGTATCTTCGAATATGTCCTGCGGTTGGCGTTGAATGGCGATCAGGGAGGAGGACCTGCAGGGCGGTCAAGCTCCCCGGCTATTGATATCGAGGACTTACGAAACAGACAGATTGTTTGCATTGGTGGCGGAGCAGGAGCAGAAGTGGTTGCACTTGCTGCTGCTGTGCGTTGGGCAACTGGCCTTGATAACCCGACAGAATCGAACCTGAATCTCTCCATTACGGCCCTTGATATAGCGGATTGGCGGCCAGTGATTGACGAGCTTTCACAGGGATGCATATCAGAGTCAGTTCATAATAGTAATAAAAAGTCTGGCGTCTCCCTTCCATTGCTCAAGGCTAGGGATCTGGCAATATCATTCCAGAAACAGGACGTCCTGGAGCTTCCAGAGGAGGAACTATCCCTTTTACTATCCCCGTCTACGAAAGATGTAACCAGTGCGGATGAGAGGAAAGGCAAAGACCCAGAAAATCCTACAACAGTTTTGATAACGCTCATGTTTACACTGAACGAGCTCTTCTCGACCTCCATGCCTGCCACGGTTGCGTTTCTGCTGCAGTTGACTGACGTGACCAAACCTGGCACCGTATTGCTGGTCGTTGATAGCCCTGGGAGCTACTCAACGTTATCACTTGGTTCCAAGGGAGCTGGGCCTCAGGAAGAGTCCGGCGCAAGAGCATCCGAGGAGAAGAAGCCGGCGAGGCAGTATCCTATGCGTTTCCTGTTGGATCATACCTTATTGACTACGGCTTCAGGCAGTTGGCAATGCATTCTATCCGAAGAGTCACAGTGGTTCAGACGAGACCGTACAGGGCTTGAGTACAATGTTGGAGACGGAATTGGGCTTGAGGATATGAGATATCAAGTCCACGCCTACCGAAGGACTACGGCTCAGTAGCCATATTCCATACTCCATACTTAGACCTAAAGCAGGTTCTCGCGGTGCTCGGTGATCTTCGGCGTATTTATCGAGCATAGTAGTCAAGGATAGGGGGCAGGGTATCATCATTTGGAAACAAGCCTGGAGAGCTGGTGGAATGGGATGAGATATAAACCACCCCACATTCGCAGGAATACGAATGTACCCATAACTAGAGGGTATTCCTTCAGCGCCAGGTTCCAGAAGAAAACATAAAATAATACGATAAAACAGCCTAGACAAGGAATATCTTCGGCTAAATGTTGGTTAAAAATGCTTGACATGCTTGTCTCTCCCCGGCAAGCAGGCAGCAGAGCAGGCTGGCGAAGGATCATAATGCCCTTATCAACAACATCCCCAGGCTCGGAATACCCGGGTATACGAGTGAAGCACTCGATATTTAAAGCCAGAGCTATTCATCCCGTGGATCTTCCTTTTATTTCTCTCTGCTCCGGGCTGAACCAGCGTTGCAATCAGCTTTACAAGTAGTGCCCATCGCTGATCGTCACCATGTTCGTCCAAGGGACTATCATCTGTGCCCTTGTAGCAAATGCAATTGCATCGTCTATACCTTCGTCGTTTCTCCTACCGGAGCCATCAGGTCCGTTCAAAATCCAGAGAGAAATTCTCGAACTCACAGACTGGTCCAGGAAGGATATCAATTCCACTCTCCCTCGCCGGTTGATGGTTTCTCGATTCGACCCCATACCCGAGAAGCACTGCATTAGAACAGAGGACGTACCTACCTTCCCTCCTGCGTCTGCAAAGCTAGAAGATGCAATTCTCCAAGCTGCGTCTGGCGGCCACTGGGTGGACGGGCTCCTAGCAGCGTCTAGAATAAGGGTATGCGCTGATGTGAAGAAGGGGTACCAAACTGACTTCCACGGGGATAACCATGGCTTCCCCATCCTGCTGTTCTCACCTGGCGGAAACACAACTCGACTCGTGTACTCGTCCATTGCCCAGACAATTTCCAGCGCAGGATACACGGTCATAACCATCGACCACCCACATGACACGGACATCGTGGAGTTTCTCAACGGCGACATCATCACCGGCGGCAAAGTCACTTTCTCCAACCCGTCCGTCCTCCCCTTCTGGAACGACGTGCGTGTTCAAGACACTTTATTCGTGCTCAACCAGGCCCTCGAGACTTCACCCCACGCCCGCATAGGCATGCTAGGCCATTCATTCGGTGGCTCCGCCGTGCTCTCCTCCATGGTCAAAGACGGTCGTATATCAGCCGGCATCAACCTCGACGGAGGGCTATGGGGTGATGCAGTCAACACGGGGTTGGGGGGTAGAAAGAAACCCCAACCCTACCTGCAATGGGGAGCGTATACGCATAATCGGCGCAATGATACATCCTGGGAGACGCTTTGGAAGGCCATGGAGAGGCTTCACCCGCATGCATGGAAGAAGGAACTTGGCATTCCGGAAGGACGACATAATACCTTTAGTGATTTCCCAGCCATTATTGATGCAGGTGGAGTAAGGGATGTTATTGACAAGGCTAGCATCGACGTGCTGGTAGGGGATATTCCCGCCGTTAGAAGCCTGGAATTTATCAAGGCGTATGTTCATGACTTTTTCCGGTTTTCGCTCTTCGGGAAAGATGAAGGGCTTCTCAGGGGGCCAAGCCAGAAGTACCCTGAGGTCGTCTTTCTGGACTAAGGTAAAACACTTACTCTATAATTAAGGTGAATATAGTGCAGAAGTGTAAATAGAGATAAACTTCATACTTGCGGTCATCATACCCGGCCATGGCTACAACCTAATAGTGCTGGCCACAAAATAAGGAGGGAAAAATAGGCAGGTCCACTGCTGTGTGGAGATTTTGTACCTAGCAACTCTCTACATAGATTTCATCTCTTCTCAACCAACCCCCCGGTCGTTTCTACCGTGATGCACACAAGATAAGGTGAAGTAGAGACTTTTCCCCACCAAGCGAATGAAAGAGGACTGCTCAGAAGAGATACTAGGCCAACAGACGTTCAGATAGCTGTGTTACCTGGGCAAGGATCCAGCAGCAACATTTGAGCATATGAACTATTGCAAGAGGCTGGGCTAGCCTTGGCTCGAGTCCACTGCTAAGCTGGAGCCGGATATAAGGAAAAGAAAAAGAATGGCATGATATGATATCCGTGCGTGTAATATTCATTTTAAGGTAAATGAGAAAGAAGACTGGCTGACTGACTGTCCGGCTGGCTTAAAAAAGAGAGGCTAGAAGATGTAAGATGAAATGAAACTGTCGTTAGAGGCCGAAAGGGAATGAAGAGGAGCTAGACATGGATGCCATCATGTATGATGATATTAGGGAGTGGAAGACAGAGCGGCAGTGCTAGTGTGCATGGATGCCTGAATGCTGCGTCGGTGATAAGGAAGATGAGAGCCAATGAGAGGTATGGGAGGTAAGGAAGGAAACGAGGGATAGACGGAGTGGATGGATCGTATGAAGCAAAGCAAATGAAAGGAGAGGAGAGGTCTTTAGGCGTAGTATAGTATGTGACGTTCAAGGAGAGGCTGGCTGGGTCGTAGAAGTAGATAATGAAGATTTTAACGAAAGCATGGAACAAGGAAGAAAGAACTGAACAAGTAAATAGACTGAACTTGTATGGCTTGCCTGCGAGTTTTGTTTAAGAAGACAAGAAAGCAGCTGAACTAAACTTGCTCTGGTGGAATGAATAATATGAAGACGAAGACGTGCGATCGGACTCGAACACGAACTCGGTTGAAAAGAAAAGCCAGATAGTAATAAGGAAAAGAAAACTGAAACCAAGCAAAAAGATTCTCCATAAGTCAATAGTTCCATCCGTGATATCGTGCCTCCCATATGTACTCCGAACAAAAGTGAAAATGAAAATGAATAAAAAAAATAAATGGATAATAAAAAATAAAAATGAAATCAGACAAAAAACAGGATAAAACGGAGAAGGCTCTAAGGGTTGAAAATTAAACATAGATAAATCCAGCAAAAAGGAACCGCGAAACCGAGATAGATAGATGGGAAACTCGTAAAGGGGGGAAGATATATGGAGGAGGTAGAGAGAAGTAGAAAGGTAAACGGGGATGTTTATCGTTTGTCCTTGACTTTCCAGAACTGCATTAGACGGGTGATTCGGAGACCCTTTTTCTTGCGCTTTTCAGACTCGTCCATGGGTGCTTTCTCCTCGTGGCTTAGCTTGCTGCGCTCAGAGTGGGCGCCAACCAGACGCGAGAAGCTAACTAGACTGGAGCGTTTCGATGAACTGGGCCGGTTGTTGTTACTGTGACTATTGCTACTGGCGTTGTTGGCGGCGCTGTTGAGTTGCAGGACGTGAGAGAACGAGGCGGCTCGGTCACCTGGGATGCGTCCGTAGATTGCGCTGGGTAGTCTGGGAATGTTTCCGGTCATTGTCGACGCAGAGCTGGTTAGGGACGGGACATCCTCGGAGGAGTTTTGGAGGTAGTCTGAGCCCGGCTCGCCTGAGTAAACGGACCCGGAGCCGTGGTGATGGTCTGTCATGGAGGAGGCGGTGTTTAGGCGAGGGACGTCAAAGGAGGTGCTTGAAGGGGCGGGTGAGGGAAAGGCCTGTGGGATCATAGGCACTGGTGGTATTATTGCGGGAATGGGGGTGAGGTTCGTAGCATTAGAGATGTTGCAGATGAATTCGGGGGAGGTAGAGGGACGCTTTTCGTCAAAGTTGCGAGGGGACGTCTGGCCAGAATCAGAGCCCACGATTCCGATACTTCCCGGGTGGTTGTAGGTAGTGCTGTTGCTGTTGCTCCGTTGGGACTGAGACTCGAAATCAATTGCATGGGCGTAAGGGGTACGCGGGGTGATAACCTGGGCAGTGCTGGGACGGCTCTCGACTGAAGCTGGGTAGAGGTCGGGCAGGTTGCTGGAGTCGACTACCTGGATACCCAGGCCAGCTTCCTCAGCATCACTGTCCTCTTCGTCTTCTTCACTGGAGGAGGATGGGTCGTTCTCAGCTGCGTCATCATCGGCCTTGGATGATTCGGCGTTCTTCTGGTTAGCCTGGTCATCGTTCTGGGCCAAAAATGCATCTTCCTCTTCTTCGTCAAACACGTCCGGGTTTTCCATTGCGGTCGACAGGCCGAACCTAGAAGCACCTAGGAAACTGCGGTCAAAGGGAGGCATCTCCGGCGCACTCTCCGCGCGTCTGTGGTACCGCATCTCTGGGCCTACGAATTCGCCTCGACGACCACCACTGTACATTCTCTTGGAGGCGATCATGAAACCACTGGTAATGTTCCGCTCGGGCCCCATTTCGGGGGTATTGAATGGGCCTAGAGCGGCATCCAGATCGATTACGGGGCTAAAGATGTCAGGGTTACTCTGCTGTTCGTAGAAGCTTTTTGGTTTCCAAGCCTTTTCCAAGCTGTTGTCCGTGGAAGAAGCCGGTTCGCCGGGTTGGGGGTGGCTTCTTGGAGCGTTCTGGGCCGTGGGAGTCCGGATGACAATAGTGTTATCATGGTCAAAGTCAACGCTGTACATGGATCCGAGCTCAGAGTTGGTCCGTGTAAGCATGGGTGGAGGCGTCGGGGATTTGCGGGACTTCTTCGACGAGCGTTTCTTCCCCTTGCGGATGAGGATGCCGGCCCAGGAGCGCTTTTTCTTTTGTTTCTTGGACGGCTTGCGCTCGTGCGCTGTTTGTTGGGTCAGGGTAGATGTCTCGGCGTCCTCTGTTTCCTGGTCTGAGGGTGTAGCTTGCGCGTTAGCGGTAGAAGACGAAGCGTTGGACGCAGTCCTCTCGGCGTCCTGGCTTTTGCAGACGTTTCCTAGACTGAAGTTCAAGGCCATTGAAGCGGAGGCAGAGAGTGGCCGTTTGGTGTTTTCATTGCTATCACTTTGGGGGCCAAAGGACTTCCATTTCATGGCCAACTGGGCACC